GATCCCGGCTCTCTTTGCCCCTCAGCATGCCCCTGTGTCCTTACCCGGCAGTCCTCCCCTGCTCAAAGCCTGTGTCTGGCTCCCACGGGGCCTCATTGTGAGGCCCAGGCTCCCCAGCCTGCACCCCAGGCACCTGCTGGCCTCCTGCCTGAGTGTGCAGCTCGGTGTTCCTTCCACTCCCACTCTGCACTTCAGCCTGGAGCGCTCCTGCCTGCCCCCTGGGAGAAGGGCTGAGGTCTCTTCCTCCCATGGTCCCTGAGGCTTCCACATCTTTATGTGTTCAGTGGATTGATTGATTGATTGATTGTTTTTTGAGACAGGGTCTCGCTATATATTTCAGGCTGGCTTTAAGTCACTATGTCCTCAGAGAGTGTTTCTTAGCTCCTACTATAAGCCTAGACTCTACTCTAATTACTGTATCATTCTCTTATGTCTCCCTTTGTTTTGTATCTGGACTGGGGATCAAACCCATCCTATATGCTAGGCAAGTGCTCTCCCACCTGCTACATTCCCAGCCTGATGTCTTTTTTTTGTTTGTTTTTTTTTTTTTTTTTGAACTATAGCATCTCTTGGAGGCAAAGACTTTGCCAGACTTGTGAGTGGTTATAAATCCAGTGTCCATCTTGTAGATGGGGCTGCAGTAATTTATAGAATAAGTTCAGGCCAGTTTTCCTTCCCTGGGCCAGATTCGCCACTGCATACCACTACTAGGGAATTTACAAATAATTGCTGATGTCCTGAGTTGGTGTGGACTTTTGTTGTTTTGTGACCGCGTCGTGCTCTGTAGTACAGGCTGGCCTTGAATTCATTATGTTGTAGCCCAGGCTGGTCTGGGACATGTGGTGATCCTCTTGCCTCAGCCTCCCCAGTGCCTGGAGTTTTAAAAGAGGAATGCTAAATGGCTGGGTGGCATGTGCTTGTAATCTCGTACGTACTCAGGAGACTGAGGCAGGAGGATGGCTGAACCTCAGGAGGTCAAGGCTGCCCTGGGAACATAGTGAGACCCTGTCTTTAAATAAAAAGTTCTAGGGCTGGGGATGTAGCTTAGTGGCACAGTGGCTGCCTGGCAAATGTGAGGTCTTGAGTTCAATGCCTGGTACAAAAAAAAAAAAGTTCTAAAGATATAATTATTTTTTTAAAAAGAAGAACGGTCAAGTATGGTGGTACATGCCTTTAATCTCAGCACTTTGAGAGGCTGATGCAGAAATATTGCCAAGTTTGAGCCCAGCCTGGGCAATTTACTGGCTTAGTGAGACCCATAAAAGGCCTGTGGGTGTAGCTCAGTGCAGAGCCTCTGGGTTCAATCCCCAGTACTAGGGAAAAAGAAAAGAAGAAGAAGAAAAGAGGCAGGCTGGGTCCTCTTCCTTGACATATTCACTTTCTGCAACTGTCCTCTGTCCCTGCAGGGCATGTACAATGCCACCACCAGGCAGGTGGAAACAGAGCTCTTCCCCTGCCTCAAGCACTTCGGATTGCGGTTCTACGCCTACAACCCTTTGGCCGGTATGGGTCCTATGGGGACAGGCCCTTCTGGAACGGGTGGGCATTGCTGGCTGTGTCTGTGCGTGTTTCTGTCCCTGCGCATACCCAGCCGAAGCCATGGGAAGCAGACAGGCAAGAGCTGGGTTGTGTCCCCATCGCTCCTTGGTTCCTCTCCCTCTGCATGTCCAGCCCTGGACAGTCTGGCAGCCTCTGGGAGCAGTCTGGGCCAGCATCTGACCACAGCCTTCCTGCAGGGGGCCTGCTCACCGGCAAGTACAAGTACGAGGACAAGGATGGGAAACAGCCCGTGGGCCGCTTCTTTGGAAACAGCTGGTCTGAGACCTACAGGAATCGGTGAGCTGGAGCTGCCGGTATCAGAATGGGTGGGGTGGGAAGTCCCCTTTATCTGAAATGAAGTTGCAGGTTGCTGTCCTGGGGGTGAGATCTCCATTGCTACTTGTACCTACCTCTATTGATTCCTACAAGAATTGGCAAACTCTGGGATTTCTTATTTTCCTGGGACCTCTGAGAAGAAATTAGGAATCCGGGGTCATGTGGTCTTCCAGCCATAGCTCTGCCCTGAGAAGTCACCTGCTGAGAGGGGAGGAAAGAGCTCTCGGGAGGCTCTGAGGAAATGGGGACCCTGGCTGCCTGTGCCTCCAGCCCCCACAGAAGGAGGCCTGGAGTCAAGGCCAAGAAACTTATGCATGACCAGGCGGGAATTTTTAGCTAAGAAAAGAGCAAAGCCACTGCTGAGATTGGTAAACAGTTAGAAAATGTTCCACAATCTGGGCGTGGGGGTATGCAAAGGTAGTCCCAGCTACTTGGGAGGTTGGCCTAGGAGGATCGCTTGAGCCCAAGAGTTTGAGGCCAGCCCTGGCAAAATAACTGACTCTTGCCCTTCTAGCTACTTTCTTTCATTAGGTATAGAGAGGCAGGTGCGTGAACCCTGAGGATAAAGATGTTATCAGTGTCTGATGAGGGCGGGCAGCCTGGCCTATTGTGAGGTCCCATAGAGCAGAATGTCCACTGCTGTAGGGGACACTGCAGGACATGGTAGGAGCAGCTGCGCTGCTTGGCCCCTTGCCTGTGGCCTCCAGAGTACTGACCTCATGCCACCCTGCCACCTGCTCAGGTTCTGGAAGGAGCACCACTTCAAGGCCATCGCCCTGGTGGAGAAGGCCCTGCAGGCCACCTATGGCTGCAGCGCCCCCAGCGTGACCTCAGCCGCCCTGCGCTGGATGTACCACCACTCCCAGCTGCAGGTAACCCGGCCGGCCCTGGGGTGCCACCTCTGCCCTTTTAAGAAAACTCAGAATTACTTTTAGGTGATTTCTAAAGACTGTTTTCTGTTCTCTTCTGAAATTTCTTCTTCTTCCAGTTTATTGTTTTCTGCTGTCATCTAAGTGCTAGGTTTTATAATATGAGTTTCACAAATATGATTTCATTATTACTTGGACCTTAGGAGGTATGTCTTCTCTAGTTTTATTGACAAGGAACTGGACTTCCTATGGCTAATAATGGGGTAGAAATTTCAGTGGAGGTTTACCTGCAAGGCCCATCAGTCCCACTCCTCTGGTGCAAGCTGGGGTTCCTTCTCTCGGGGTCAGGTCTTCGTGGTGAAAACTTCTCCAGCTGTACGCATAGGCAGTTCACAATGTATGTATTGTAGGTGCTCCATAGATGGGGGTCTAAGTGCTTTAGGTAATTTTGCTCTCCATAGTCACACTGAAAACAGAAGATTTGAGCCTCAGGAGAGCTTAAGTAACCAGGGCCTTTACCTAGCTGTTGGCTGGCATAACTCACCCGGCTCTGTGTAGATAAGCTGGGCAGACAAGGTAAGGCAAAGGTCACCTAAGTGGGAGAATCAAAGGTATCTTCAGTTCTGACGGATGCTCGGGATATAAGTACACACACATCCCAAATCTTGGCAGGGGCAGAGGATGGAGGGGTGTGACTGGACCCACTGGGTATCACAAATGTACTCCAGTGCGGCTTCTCCCCTTGCAGGGCGCCCACGGGGACGCGGTCATCCTGGGCATGTCCAGCCTGGAGCAGCTGCAGCAGAACCTGGCCGCTGTGGAGGAGGGGCCCCTGGAGCCGGCTGTGGTGCAGGCCTTTGATCAGGCCTGGAACCTGGTTGCCCATGAGTGTCCCAACTACTTCCGCTAGGCCCGATGTGACTCCAGGTGCCAAAGGCTTCTCTGTCTGCTCTTTGAGTCTCTGACCCTGGCCGTTTTGCCTTAAGCTGCCTTAGCGCGGTCTTTCCCGCTGGCCTCAATCATGCAGTCTTCTCTAGATCCCTGCCCCGCTCCCTGCTGCCCTGCACCAGGGAAAGGCTGGGGCTCAGTCCTCCGGGAGCGCTTGTGTCTCAATAAAGCAGCGCTGGCCCAGCCACAGCCCTGGCCTGGCGAAGCACCAGCTGTCTTGTCTCCTTGTGTCACTGCCTCTTGGGAGCCTGCCTGGGCCTCCAAGGAAGGGCGGAGCCGTGAGCTGGGGTCTCCAGAGGGCAGAGGTTGTGGGGCAGGCTCGGGAGCGCCCTGGCCTTGTCCAGGTCTCCTTGCTCCTTGTCCTGAGCCCCGCCCGGGCTCTCTGTCTCATACACGTGAGGGGGAAAGTGGGCCAGGCAGCCTGGAGTAGCTTTTCTCTCATTCAGGACTGCAGCACCAAATACTCAGAAATGGGACAGTTTGGGCAAAAGCTCCCTGTAGAGGCACCACTAAATAAAGAATGATACTTCTCAGAATTCAGTGGACTTTGTAATTATCTATTTTGTTTTTTGAAATGGCCTTGTATGTAGCCCAGTGTGGCCTCAAACTTGTGGCAGGTTTCCTGCTTCAGCCTCCCAAGTGCTTTTGCATGGGGCTGGGGATTTAGGACAGCGGCAAAGTGCCTGCCTGGCAAGCGCAAGGTCGTGAGTTCGATTCCTGGTACCAGAAGAAAAACAAAACAAAACAAAAAAAACAAGTGCTTTTGCAGGCATGGACTACCACATCTGCCTCTTTTCCTCTCTTTTCTTTTTTCTCCTTTCCTTTCCCTTTCCTTTCTGTTTCCCTTCCCTTCCCTTCCCTTCCCTTTCTCTTTGTTTCTCACCTTCGTCCCTTCCTTCCTCCCTCCCTTTCTTCCTTTCTTCCTTCCCTCCCTCTAGATAAGGTCTTGCTGTTTTTCCCAGGCTCAAACTTTCCTACCCTCAAACTTTCTGGGCTTGAGTGCTCCTCCTGGGCCAGCCTCCCAAGTAGCTGAGACTGCATTTGCGAACCCCTCACCAGATTGGGGAACATTTTCTAACTGTTTACCAATCTCAGCAGTGGCTTTGCTAAAACTTCCCGCCTGGTCACGCATACGTTTCTTGGCCTTGACTCCAGGCCTCCTTCTGTGGAGGCCAGAGGCACAGGCAACCAGGGTCCCCATTTCCTCAGCCTCCCGAGAACTGCGATTTTTTCATTTTTTCAGTGCTGGGATCCAGCCCGGGGCGTCACACATACACACCAGGCAAGCAACCAGTCACTGAGCTGCATCCCCGGCCTTAGTTTTACCCAAATTTCACCTTCCTCTGTCTTCACGTAGAGCACAGCAGATGTGCCATCACGTTAGCTGGCTACATAGTGAGTGCAGGTCAGCCTGGACAACATAGCAGGACCCTGTGCCAATAAGTAAATAAATCCCCAAACAAATAAATACAATAGGGATGTGCGAGAACAGGGTGGTGATCTTTGGAAATGAACTGTCATGGGAGCAGCCATCCTGAATGATCAAGTTGAGAAGTGAGGACCTACTGACAGAGCCTCAGCTCTCAGGGCCCCTGCCAGACATATTCTCGGGTTGGAGGTACAGCTCACTGGTAGCGCATAGAGTCCTGGAAGAAAGAAAAACCAAGAAGAAAAACCAGCACTGCAAAGACAACAGTAATAAGGATACACTGTCGGGGATATAGCTCAGCAGCGTAAGTGCCTACCTGGCAAGTGCAAGGTCCTGAGTTCGATTCCCAGTACAAAAAAAACAGAGGATAAACTCTCTGCTGTGTCATGTCCCATCTGTGAGAACATCCCGACAGCATTTCAGACATACCAGATGGGCACTTGAATTAAGCCACTTCACACCTACAGAGCGTCTTCAGAAGTCTAATGAAAGGTGTGTGTGTAGCGGGAATGGCTCAGTGGTGGAGGACTTTTTTTAGGAGTGTCTTTAGTTATAGCTAACTGTTATAGCTGCCTTAATGTCCTGGGTCTATTCAAAACGTTTCCTTTTAGTGGTCATTTTAACCTTGCGAAGACCAAGAAGTCACACTGCCAGTCCAGTCAATAAGGCTGATGAGGTCACCCTGTAAGGTTTTAAGGAGCCTGCCTTTTGTTGGATGGCAGGAAGCAACAGCATTCACTGTATTTTTGATCACACTTCATAAAGGAATGAAAGAGGACTTCAAGAACTGCTTCAAAAAGTGGCAAGTATGATAGGAAATGGTGCTGGAAGTGATAGTGTATTGATGGGGAATAATGGCAGTGTCTTCTACTGTAATAATTTCAAAAATTTAAACATTCACTGTATGTTTTGATCATACTGCCTAAGAGGAAAAAACCAGGTGTCATACAAATGAGCCTTCTCCATTATACAAATTAAATCTTCATCTTTGCAATCTTTTACTTCAACAGTTAGCGGTTACATTGGGGATACACCTCACTGGTTCATGAACCTAGGTTCATGGCCAGTACCACCAAAAAAAAAAATCATAAAAAAAGAAAAAGAATGTAATCCATGATGCCCATGCCAGTGCAGACACTGCTTTTCATATGGCTGATTATAGCACAAATTTCCCAAGACGGATGGTAAAAACTAACAATTACTGTTAATAAATTACATGTTTATTATCAACTTTCTCGCCAAATCACAATGCTGAATCTTTGTTTTTGTTTTTTGGGGTATTTTGGTGCCAGGAATCAAACTTAGGACCTTGCACTTGCCAGGCAGGCATGTATGCCACTGAGCTATATCCCTGGCCCTGAAGCTTTGTTTTTTTAACACAGGGTTTAAACAGTAAATTCTTCACGAGGATCAGTGCTGAATCTTTGATTCACTAGGCATCTTCCCCTTCCAAATTGGACTTCCTTTGAGTATGACTTTGACTGTCTGATCCCATTAGAATAATTGTTCTCCTGGGCCAATATATATTGTAGCTTAAGGAAGGAAACAGAGTCAAAGAACCTGAGAAAATAGCTTTGGTTTATGTGATTACAGTGGGAAAAGAAGGATTCTCCCCAGAAGTTCTCCACTTGTTTGCTGGTTTCGCAGTGCTGGGTGTTGAAACTAGGGCACTGAGCTGCATCTCAAGCACTGTTTGTATTCTTATTGAGCTATGGTCTAAGTGGCCCTGGCTGGCCTTGAAGTTTTGATCTTCCTGCCTCAGCTTCCTGGGCAGCTAGGATTAAGGGCTATGCCAGGGTTGACTTCATGTAAAGCTACGTTGCTATGGCTTGTGGATGAAGAGTGCCCTTGATCTGAGACTGACATAGCCATGAGAACATCTGAGTGTCTTGTCTTTAGTGCAGTGGCTATTCCTTATTTTTTTATTTTTATGTCTTTTTTTGAGACAGGGTCTTGCTGTGCAGTTCAGGCTGGCCTTGAGCTCACTTTGTAGCCCAGGCTGGTCTCAAACTCGCAACGATACTCCTGCCTCAGCCTCCCATATGCTAGGATTAAAGGTTTGCGCCACCACTCCCGGCCCAGGCTGGTCTTGAACTGGCAAGGATCCTCGTGCCTAGATTGCAGGCATGCGCCATCACGCCCGGTTTCCTTAGTGAACTGCATAATTACCTTTAGAATTTGTCCAGCAGGCTACAGATGCTTTCACATGCTGATTAGCTGCACTCATAATCCCCGTGTTGTTGGGTCCATACACTTCGTGAACTGCGTTCAGGAGAACTCTCTGCACTCCAAAGCCTGCACAAATCAAGGAATTAGAGCCAAACCACACACAGCAGAGGAAAAGCAAAAACACGAGCCCTCTTCATGCAAGGACT